CTCTCGGTCCATGTGCACCGCTTCTTTGGCCTATAAATACCCTCCTGGTGTCCTTTGTTAGGTTTGTTCCGTTTGTGCTCCCGGTCCATGTGCACCGCTTCTTTGGTCTATAAATACCCTCCTGGTGTGCTGTTTTGATTCATCGAGCATTTTGTTGCGTGGTCTGAAAACTCTGTAGTCATAAATATGATAGTTTGTGAAGTAGAGCAGCACCCGGGCGTATTTTGTAGTTCTTGTGTATCTTGTTGTAGCTGGAGGGAGTCTTGTGATAGGGATTAGAGGTAGACTAATCCCGCAGCGGCATTGTACCAGGAAGTACATGGTGGTAGTTGGAGGAAGTCTTGTGATGTGGGATACGTTCCTTCATCCAGCAGTTCTGGGTTGATCCTCATCGCCTGCCCTGAGACTGTCCGGTGCAGATCAACACCATATCCAGCATCACATCGGACTTGGGTAGACAGATGCCTGCCGGGCTCCCCTGGTCCATGTTGTCCCGCCGTGCTGCTGATTTCCGCCTTGGATGTACTACGTTTGTCCTTTGAAGAAAACAGTGTATCCAAGTGCAGTTTGTTCTACCGAGTAGCAATTTGGAACACGTAGTCGTTTCAGAACCTAGTTGTGTCCGGGTTCCTTTTTGCTACCTTGCTTTGTCATAGTACCGAGTTCGTTGGGTCTTGTAAGATGTGTAATCTTGTGTTTTTTGAAGCCATTTGTAATGGAAAGAATCTAGTCCTCTGAGTTGTCATTCTTTTTCTGCTGATGTCCTGGTTGTTTATGAGATTCCCGAGTTCTTTCTATTAGAACCGGATTCTTGTGTTCCTTGTGAGGTAACCTTCGTTGCTTCATGGTTGATGAGTTCTTTTTGTAGCAACATGATAATTCTACCGTGGTGCTGGATGGATAAGTCTGAAATCTACCCGTTGAACTATACCGTTTGTGTGCAAGTGTGCCGTCCATCATTTCAGCTGTGTCAGTTGTGGTGAGAAATGGATCGTTGTGTTCTCATGCCGTGTTTAAACGGGCCTAGTGGGCCGCGTTTCTATTGCTGTAAAATCTATTTAAAGGCATTTCTTCTTCTTTTTCTTTGCTGCCCTGCTTTTGCCTTGAAACCCTAGTCTTCAAAACTCCGCCGCCGCCATTGTCGCCGTCATCTGAGCGCCACCGTCTGAGCCTCATCGTTTCTTAGTGCTTTATTGCTTTCGCTAGTATATGGGTAGGAAGAAGTCAACGAGCAAGTCCCAGGCAACCTTTGTAGACGAGGAGGCATCGCTTTCTGTGATTGAAAATCAAGAATTTATGGCCATGAGGGCTGCTTAGAAGATCTGGCCGACTCCAACTACGACTGAGGATCAGTTGCGCGAGCTTGTCAGTGATGGTCTGATCCTGGGAAAGGAGTTTACTGATTGGAAAGCTCTAGGCCAGCATTGGGTCCCAACTCTAGGTCCTAATGAGATTGTTCTTTTTGTCTCCTTTATCCGTGCTGGGCTCTGCCTTCCTGCTTCTGCTTTTCTTCATCGATTTCTCAGTTATTTTGGTATTAGCTTGAACCATCTTGCTCCCAATGCTGTCCTTCATCTTTCTGTTTTTGTTCATCTTTGTGAAACTTTTCTTGGAATTCCTCCTTCTCTCTCTCTTTCGTTACTTCTTTCATCTAAAGCCACAACCCCGCCGCGATGACACCCATGTTCTTGGTGGCTGCGGGATTCAGTTTCGTTAGGGTCTTAAGAGTAAATTTTTTGATTATGACTTGGTTGATTCTATGAGGGATTGGCGTGCCGACTGGTTTTATGCCGCCAATTTGATTCCTCCTCTTGCTGTTCATTCTGGTTCTGGTCCCGTGGTTAATGACCGATGGGAAAAGAATCCCCTAACGATAGATGAGCTCTAGGCGATCAAGCCGTTTCTTGAGAGGATATGTACTCTGAAACAGCAGGGCTTGATCGACTTCGATATCGTTTCCAGTTTTCTTCGCCGCTGTGTTTAGCCTCTGAAGGAGCGAGAGAATTATGGTTTTGAGTACTCTAGGGCTGAGGATCCTTCTCATATGGTCCCTGCCCTTGAGTTGCCTGATGAGGAGGTGCTCGAGCACCTTTAGAAGATGTTGAAAGGAGTAAGCGTCGTTCCGCATGCTGTCCTTGAGTATTGTGCTAATAACCTGCCTCCTACTGTGAGTTGTTTTTTCTTATGCGGGTACTTTTTGTATTTCCTTTGCTATCTGCACTTTTTGCTTAATCTTTCTTATCTGGTTGTTTTACTCTTTTATAGGAATTCGGGCGTAACTTCATTGATCCGATCCCCCTTGATGACTGCCCTGCCATTGTGGAGACTGGGGATAGTCTTGCTGGGGCATCTTTAACCAGTAAGTTTCAAACCACCATGATGTTTCCTGGTGTTTCTTCCACAATTCTTGACGTATATGTACAGTATGTTCCTCGTCCAGTTCCTCGAGCTCCTCATAGTGTCAGAAAAAGGGGGCGAGCGGATTGTTCTTCTTCTGGTTTGTCTTCTACCAAGAAGCCTCGCCAGTCGAGTACTCGTCCAGGTACTCAAGTTTTAGGTAGCATGCTCCTAGGTGAGCATATTAATACGCTTTGTCTTCTTGTTGTTTGTTTGTGCCTTTAACCGAGTATTTTCCTCCTTTTTCGGATGGCGTTGTGGTTGCCATGTTTGAGAATGAGGAAGATGAGGATGATGATGCGGCCCTCGTTATGCGTCGGTGAGTTGTTTTCTTGTTTTTCTGTTGTTGAACACCTCTTTTTGTTCTAACTTTTGGCCTTGTTCTTTTGTAGCAAGCGGTCGTCGAGCTCGAGTTCTTCTGGGGCTCCGGTACCGATCACACCACTCCTGTCGTAGAGTGGTGGTGATATTTTTGCTTCTATAGTTCCCCCTCTAAGATCTTCTATTCGTCTTGGGGATTTTATGAAGAAGAAGATAGCTAAGTGAGTGAATACTGGTTATGTTTCTTTGCTTCTGTTTTCCTTTTTTCTGATTCATATTCTTATCATCGAGTTTCCTTATCATCTTACAGACCCTCGCCTTCCCTTAACCCTCAGTCGACCTCTTGTCAGTCCTCCAGTGTGCCCCTGTGTGCTGAGTCTCGGGACTCGGAATGTACGGTCGGCGAGGTGGCTGTGAGGGAGACAGGGTTCCCTGGTGATCATGCTGCTGCTGATTTGCTGGCTCCGAGGGTGACCGCGGCCGCGGCAGTGGGTCCATTTGAGGTGGTAGCCAGGGCTTCCTAGGATACAGCCCTGGTCTTGCCTTCTTTGCATCGGCTGGCTTCTCCCTCTACTCCTCTTGGTACTAGTGATCAGCATTTGGATGATGATGTGTTGCAACAATTCGATACCACTCATCGGTTGTCAGAGCTGACCGCTGCCTGGGGAACCTTTGTGACCTTTGCGACTTCTTTTGGGGGAAAACTTTAGGTAAGTTTTTTTGAAGTTCTTTCTTTAGATGTTCGTCTTTCTTCTGTTCTTATGTCTTGTTTTTCTCTCTCTCTTTTTGTTCAGTCTTTTTCTCAGGATCATACCGGCTTTTTTTTCTCGTCTGAAATCGAGAAAAAGTTATCTTCTAAGGTTAGTGCCCTAAAAACAGAGCTTGACCTCTGTCGGGCCAAGATGGAGAACGAGCGTCAAACGCACTAGAGGGAGGAACAGGCTCTCCGTGCCTGGGTGGTTGAGGCAGAATAGCAGAGGGATGCTGCTGTCCAGGAGGCCTTGAAGAATGTGGAGGCCATGAAGAAAGAGTGCAATGGTATTGCGAGTTCTTTTTTGTTTCCTTTTGTATTCAAATTTCCCTTTCTGCTGACTTGTTTTTTGGTGCCTGGTCTAGCTCTCCGAGTTGAAAAGCAGAAGCTCTCGAAGGATATTGAGGAAATGAAGATACTTGTTCACAACAATCACAATAGGGTTGAGGACGTAATTTCTCGTGCTGAAGAAGAACTCGCGCTTGCTAAGTTGATCAAGCGTGGAGCTGACAGGGATCTTGTGCAGGCCCAAAAAACTGTTGAAGTCTTGACTGGTAAGTTGACGACAGCTACTGAGAACTGGAATGCTTTGTGGAAATCATTTCGGTCAATAGCCGACCTTCTCCGGACTCCAACGTATGATGGTCAATCTTGGGCTTAGTTTATTCCCAAAGTTCTGACCCGTTTCCAGGAGTTCATGAAGAGGTGCGCCCAACTATGTACCAGAAACGTTCTTGCCCAGGTCCGGGTTCTTATTCTGGAGGTCCCTGTGTCCAAAATTGCAGAGGAAGCCGAGAGTCAAGAATATCTGGATGCCGTTGAAAAGGTGGAGCCTGAGGTCTAAGATTTACCGAAGAGGATTACGGATAATCTTAATATTGATATTTCTTCTCCTGATGACGATGCTTGATGTAATTGACCTTTGTACTCTAGCCTTTGTAATAGGACATTATACTTCTTTTTGAATGAAGATTCTTTGTTTTTTGTTGATGTCTTCTTTGCCTGGATGTCTTCGCCTTGTAAACAACTCGGTATCTGTAGATTGTTGTCTTGACAAACTTTCTTGATTTGTTGAGTGCTTGTCTAGTTGTCGTGTCAACAACTCGGGGTAAGTAGTTCTTTGTCCTTACAACCTTTTTGTTCTTGTTAGTACTGAAAAGTCTTAGGACCAGCGATCTCAAGTAAGGATGAAAACGGACGGAATCAAACGGAGAACTCCTCAACCGTTTTCTACTTTTACATTTGAATATGAAAACAAAAACGAAAGCGGACAAACCGAACACGAAAACGAACACGAACTTACGAAATATCGAGAATTTCGAAAACGAAACAATTCGAGCGGAATTATATCGAACACGGTCGGTATACGAGAATTCAATACGAACCGACCCACAGTGCATAACATTAAACAAGTTCATGGCCAAATACATAACAAGTTCGCGACTAACAAGTGCATGATCTAGTTCAAATTAACAAGTGCGTGACCCGTGGTCTTAAGTAGTACGACACACAATTAACAGAACATGAACATCTAGAGCTCATCAGCATCATCCATGATGTCAGGATCAGAGTTCCCATCGCTCTCCATGTCTTTTGCATCCTCATTGTCCTCCTCAGAGTCCCCATCGCCCTCCTTGTCCTTGTCCTAGAAATTTGCAAAGTGAATATATACAGAGCAGCATTAGGGAGTTCCATATAATCAGCCGAGTTGCATATGGCAGCTAGCTAGTGCATCCGATCCATCTCTCCTTGCCAGAACATGCATATGCTGATAATTAAGGCTTACTGATAATGCAATGCACTCTCTTTGGGTATTAGTGTGATCAGTGTATGAGAATAAGAAATGTTTTTATTTGTGCTACAATCAACCCGATCCTCCCTCCAGTAGGCCACCAGTACTAGACCAAGTACATGCATGCCACGGCACCATATATAGATGGAGTTGAAAGTGTGTGCAGTGTGCTACTCCACTCAACAAGATAGCTTTAACAGCAGCCAACATCAAATATAGACAGAGGAGAGGATAAACATACCTCAATTTTCAGTTTAGCCACAACATTAGTCAAAGCATCAACTTCAAGATGACTCACAATTGATCCAACCACTTTCGCATCTGAACAAAATATTAGTAAGGGGAAAATATCAATGCATTATTATGCTGCAATTACAAGTGTATAACTGAAAAAAGAGATAGAATGACCACCTTTACTTGCTGTAGCAACCCAGTCCTTTGTGCAAATTAATGCCTGTACCATCTCGGGATCAAGACGACTGCGATAAGGATCAACAACACGACCAGCAGCACTAAATGCAGACTCGGATGCTACCGTTGATACTTGTACAGCCATTACATCCCGAACAATCTGTGAAAGGATAGGATACTCTTCTCTCTTGTTTTTCCACCAAGCTAAGATGTCAAACTCACCAACAATTTTCAGTAGTGGTTCCCCCATATACCTCTCCAACTCATTTGTCTCAACCATAGCATGTTCACTTTCATCATATAGGAATTCTTCTAGGTCATGGTCTACATTTCCCATTAATACATCAGCTGTGTTACTAGGTCCAGGTGCAGCCACACTACTAGTTTTCTTTGCTGGTGCAGGAGCATAACTAGCATAAAAGTTGTATAGTTTCTTTACCACACAAATAAACTCATCGAGTGCAAGTTGATAGTGATCACCATGGAACTTCTTCATGTAGTACTCTATTAGCCTTTTCTTATACCTTGGATCAAGAAAACAAGCTACAGACTAGAGCAATGTTGGACTGTTCCCAATATTTTTAAATTTTGCATTCATAGCAACAGCCATTTCTCTAATTGTATCATCTTCATTAAAGCACCAATCATCTAGCAAGATCTTTATATCACGAAACCTCTATAAAATAAGTTTGCGAGGGATATGAAGTGCGGAGAGAATTTCAGTGAGATCATAAAATTTCTTGAGACAACCATAAATTGTCAAAGCCTTTTCCCATTCAACAAAAGATGGAGAAATCTTAGCATACCTACGGCGATTTGAAGTCTTCATCCTAATAAATGCATCCTTGTAGTACAAGGCATCTCTCAGCATTAGGTAGGTAGAATTCCACCTTGTTGACACATCAATTTGAATACCCCTCTTTGTATCCAACCCAGCTTTTCGTGGCACACTTCATAAGCTCTTCCCACTTTGCAATGGAGACCCTTTCACAGCTAGCACAAGTGATTTGACCTTGCTAATTGTTTCCAAAATGACTTTCAACCCATCTCTAGCAACCAAATTGAGAATATGACATGCACATCTGACATGAAAAAACAGCCCATCACACACTAGGGAGCCATTACCATTCTCTTTTAGATCTGAAATTATATCATTGACAGCCACTTCATTTGAACTAGCATTATCCAAAGTCAATGCAAACAATCTTTTCTCAATGTACCATTTAACCATAACTTCACTTTGAATGTCTCAGATAACTTAGCACCAAAGATGTCTACCTTTTACATTGAAGAAACCAATAATTCTCTTTTGGATACGCCAATTATCATCTATCCAATGAATTGTAACACACATGTATCCTTTGTTTTGGCATGAGGTCCACATGTCCATTGTTGCACTAAAGCGGCACTTGATAGTTTTTAAGTGTGCATACAAAGTTTCCTTTTCTTCAAGATATCTGTCCATTATTTCTTTCCTAATAGTGACATAAGACTTTATCGGAAAGCTAGGCTGAAGAGATTTTATGAAATCAACAAGATACTCATGCTCAACTATATTGAAAGGATATTCATGCATGGTGATTGCCAAGTTCAATTTCCTCAAGCTAACTTCTTGGTCATATTTGAAAGGCACGATATGAGCCATTTCAGAACCACTGTTCTTACCAACATTAAGCTGTTGTTGTCCCTCCACAATACTGTGCTTTGACCTCAAATGGCTCTTGAATGCAGTCGTCCCACAAGGGCCCTCAGCTCTGTACCTCTTATTGCACCTAGCGAAATTGTAGTACCCCCACGGCTGCTCATACTACTTTCCATCCACCTCTATAACCTCCTTTTTCTTGGTGAAATACTTCCAGACATGTGATGTGCATTTTTTGTACCTCTTGCCAGAAAGATGAGCCTGCTCTTCATCATCTTGATCATCTTCGCCGATATTAACTGGAGCTATAGGTGTGTCTATTGCTGGTGCACCACCAGGTTGGGCTGGGCAGATGCCGATGCAAGGCGCTTGATTAAGCCCAGTGTCAATGTCAACAATAGAACCTTGGAACCGATCACTTTGGCCCATTTGCTACGGATGCTTGTGTGGCTGGACTATCACAAGTTCTAGAGCTAATACTCTGAGATGCAGACCTTTTATTCCTAGATCCTGATGATCAAGCAAAATGACCAAAATAAGTTAGAGTACTGATAAAAATATATCAGATTTTTCCCAATAAAAACTATATCAGATTTTGATAAAAACTATAGTTTTTCCCAATAAAAATATCAGATTTTGCAGGACAAAATATTAATTACAAAGGCAAATCAATGCTGCACCAAAATAGAAGACTAGGTTTTATCTAGCCTCATAGCCCGTGCTTATCTAATCTTTGTGTCGTGTTTTTGGTTTTGTGTCCGTAAAAAAGATGTTCACAATCGCATAGTTGGTGACAATATCTCTTTGGAGTATGACATATCGCATACTGATTTAGTGAGATTGATTTAGATGTATCGCATTGCCTCTAGTTTTATGTTTAATACAAGTGTGTTAACATGTACTCTTTGGTTGTCATGGCTAGTTAACTAGAAAATTTAACATAGTAAAATCTTTGTTGAAAGGGGTCCTGTGCATCTTATAGAAGTGTGGCTCTGAAATGGACAGACAAATTTATCTGTGTTTTTTTTCTTATCTCGATCGCACTTTGATTCCTAAAAACTAGCAATTGCACGATACCAATGTCTTTATTATGGTTTCCAGTGAACATTATCTGAACATAAAATTCATTACCCGTGAGATCTGTCCAAATTTATTAGTCACTCTTGAGCAATTGATCAAACAACATCATTTGAGTCAAAGCTTTGTTGATGGTTACTAAGATATATCCAATATACAACCGCCTAACCAAATAAAAGATAGCATTTCATACACAAGTGTCACGAGCTTTATTACTCGGTCACGAGAACTGAATAATACTAAGTTGATGTTCCAATCCTGAATTTACGGAGGGGATTAGTGTATGTCCCTAGCCGCCAGACTCATATGTATCGCTCCAAAGATTGACAAACAACACACATATCAAGACTACAAATCTTGAGAAAAGAAAACATCTTTGAACGATGCATCGATATATCATACATGTTCGAGTTGAGAATGAAACTTTCTACTCAATTATGATATCACACGTCCACAACTAAAACTTCATCAATCTAGAAACATATATGTCTTACACGATTACACAGTGCTAGCTAGTAGTGCATGTCCGCAAAGCTTCTAGCACTTTGGTTACAGTATGAGAGCATACTGACAATGTAAAATAGCTTGCGAGGGCAGCGACCAGCGGAACATCAAGACCCCAGATCGATCATACCTGGAGCTGGAGGTGGCGCTGGAGAAGTCGTAGCTGCCGGTGCCGGTGCTGATGCCCGTGCTGTCGGTGGCGCAAGAAGTTGGCGCACGGTCTTGGTCTTGGCCTTGGCCTTGCCCTTTGTGGGAGCAGAAACACCATCTTTGGTGGGCGCCATCGATGGGCACTGCGGTCGGTGGCGTTATTTGGCGATGGCGAGCGAGAGAGAGCTGCGGCGGCGGCGGTGCTCCCGGCGTACCTCGACAACTTGGCCGACACGGCGGACCACTGGGCGCTTCGTCGCGGCGCAGAGGTTCAAGTCGCGCCTCACACGACCTTGACGCACGCAGCGATGATGGGATGGACAGACGCCGCCCGGCCATAGCCAAAGCAACGAGGAGGGACGGTGAGGAGCCGTCGAGCGATCCTGTTGGGGGCCGGGGATGGGTAGTGGGAGTTTGGGGATTAGGGTTAGCTTTGTTATTGGGCTGGGCTAGTGCACTGCTGGGCTAGTGCCCTGCTGGGCTAGTACATGGGCTAGTGCCCTCTGCCCTGCTAGACCAAATTTGGTTCTAAACTGAATTTAAATTCGGTATATTTCGAATATAATGTAGAAATGTAGAAATCGAACGAACAAATGCCTAAACTGATTTCGTACCGAATTTCGAATTATGTACTCCGTATTTCGTTTTCGAATTTAGTATCCGTTTTTGTCCGCAAAAAACGAATTCGATCGGGTTAAATGTAGAAAACGACTGTGGTTCGGTTCGGGATATTTCCGTATCGTTTTCATCCTTAATCTCAAGTATCTTCAGCTTCTTCTTTTTAGCTTTTTTGCTTAACTCGAGATGTGGCCAGCATCTAGCTCTTTTCCTGGTTGTAAAAACATCTTTGGATCGGTTCGGGTGTTGGCTTATCAGCTACCCTCATCGGCAGGCTCAAGCATCTTTTCAGCTCTTTTGCTCTCGGACTGTATGCTCAGGCATAATTTCAGTCATTTTGCTTTTTGGTTCGGGTGTTAGCTTATTAGCTACCCTCATCGGCGAGCTCAAGCATCTTTTTCACTCTTTTTCTCTCGGCACGGTATGCTCAGAGCATAATTTCACCATTTTGCTTTTTGGTTGGTGTTAGCTTATTAGCTACCCTCATCGGCGGGCTCAAGCATCTTTTCAGCTCTTTTGCTCTCGGTCGGTATGCTCAAGCATAATTTCAGCCATTTTGCTTTTTGGTTCGAGTGTTAGCTTATTAGCTACCCTCATCGGCGGGCTCAAGCATCTTTTCAGCTCTTTTGCTCTCGGCCGGTATGCTCAAGCATAATTTTAGCCATTTTGCTTTTTGGTTCGGGTGTTAGCTTATTAGCTACCCTCATCGGTGGGCTCAAGCATCTTTTCAGCTCTTTTGCTCTCGGCCGGTATGCTCAGGCATAATTTCAGCCATTTTGCTTTTTGGTTCGGGTGTTAGCTTATTAGCTACCCTCATCGGCGGGCTCAAGCATCTTTTCAGCTCTTTTGCTCTCGGCCGGTATGCTCAAGCATAATTTTAGCCATTTTGCTTTTTGGTTTGGGTGCTAGCTTATTAGCTACCCTCATCGGCGGACTCAAGCATCTTTTCAGCTCTTTTGCTCTCGGCCGGTATGCTCAGGCATAATTTCAGCCATTTTGCTTTTTGGTTCGGGTGTTAGCTTATTAGCTACCCTCATCGGCGGGCTCAAGCATCTTTTCAACTCTTTTGCTCTCGACCGGTAGGCTAAGTGAAAACAACTCAGGGAAAGCCATAATAAGACATATGTTGTCGAACAAAAAACCATCTTTATTGATCATGAACATTGATAAGCCATAATAATACATATGTTGTCGAGGAACACCATCTTTATTGATCATGAACGTTGATCTCTTGTGGCTTGTATATATATATTCTTCCTTGAGTTGTTTTCATGCGTAGAATCTTCTTAGTTGGCTGATGTGCCATGTATTGTTGACTTCTTTTTCATCTTCAGTTATTAACTTGTACGTGCCTAGTCCGGTGACTTTTGTGACGATAAAAGGACATTCCCATGGACAGAGTAGTTTATGGCATCCGTCAGTTTTTTGTATTCTTCTTAGTACTAGGTCTCCGATTTGTAGTGATCGAGGCTAGGTATTCTTGTTGTAGTGGCGTCTTAAACCTTGTAGGTATCTAGCTGATTGAAGGGTAGCGTTTACTCTGACTTCTTCTGTACTGTCGAGTTCTAATCTTTGGGTGTGTTTAGCTTCTCCTTCGTCATATTGTTCTATCCTTGGTGACGTCCAGATCAAGTCGGCAGGTAGTACGGCTTCTAATACGTAAACTAGGAAGAAATGTGAGTATCTGGTGGCTCTGCTTATTTGAGTTCGTAGCCCCTATACTACTTTGGGTAATTCTTCAATCCATTTGGATCCATAGTCCACTAGTTCTTCATACAATCTTGGTTTTAATCCGGCTAGTATGAGTCCATTAGCCCTTTCTACATACCCATTGGCTTCTGGATGTGCGACTGATGCGTAATCCATGTCGAAGCCGCAATCCTATGCCTAACTTTGGAATTCTGTAGCTATGAAGGGAGACCCCAAATCTGTGATGATTCGATTGGGCATGCCGAAGCGGTGCATAATGTCTTGGATGAACTCGACTGCTTTGGCTGCGCTGTATTTTGCGAGTGGTTTGTATTCAATCCACTTGGTGAACTTATCAATTGCCACAAAGATATACTCGAAACCGCCCTTTGCTTTCTTGAGAGGTCCCACTTGATCCAGCCCCCAGCAGGAGAAAGGCCAAGCGGGTGGGATGCAGATGAGATTGTGAGCTGGATCATGAGCTTGTCTTGCGAACATTTGACAAGCTTTGCATTTTCTGACGAGTTCTTCTATGTCTTTCAAAGCGGTTGGCCAGTAGAATCTGGTGTGGAATGCTTTGCCGACTAGTGTTCTTGAAGCGGCATGATTTCCACAGCAACCTGAGTGTATTTCGTCTAAGATCTCTTTGCCTTTTTCAAATGAGACACATTTTAGGAGTACTCCTGATGATGTGGCTCTTCTGTACAGCTTGTCCCCTACTAGGACGTAGTTCTTGCTTCTACGAACAACTCTGGTAGCGTCCTCTTTATCTGCTGGCAACTTATTCTCTTTGATATAATCAATAAAAACCTGGGTCCATGAGGTGTTGATTACCAAAATCTGGGTGCCTTTAGTTGGGAGTTCAGGGGTTATCTCACCGGGTTGTTTGATAGAGGGAGTTGTTAACTCCTCTATGAATACGCCAGGTGGGACCTTCGCCCTGTCCGATCCAAGCTTGGCGAGGACGTCTGCTGCAATATTAGAATCGCGCAGGACATGTAGAATTTCTAATCCTTGAAAATGTTTTTGAGTTTTCGTATTTCAGCACGGTAAGCGCCCATGTTTTCTTTGGTGCAGTCCCAATCTTTGTTGACTTGGTTGATGACTACTGCCGAATCGCCGTATACGAGTAATCGCTTGATTCCGAGGGTAATTGCCACTCAGAGCCCGTGGATGAGGGCTTCGTATTCTGCTTCATTGTTTGTAGCCTGCCATAATATTTAAAGGAAATACTTAAGTTGTTTTCCATCTGGAGAAATGAAGAGAACGCCTGCACCGGCTCTGCCTAGCTTGAGCGATCCATCAAAGTACATCTTTCAATGGTCAAGGATGGTATTTGACATAGGTTGTTGAATTTCTGTCCACTCGACAACAAAATCGGCAAGGGCTTG